CCAAATACCCATTCAGAATTACTGTAGAAGGCCAGCATGCAAGACCTATTTGAATGTCTTTGGAATATCTAGAGCGACAATAATCTTCACTGTTCTTATCTAAAGCTTAATAGAAAAATTTAGTGATGGCTGTTAACACATCAGTAGTAGACCTGGAGAAACAGAAGCCATATTGTTTATCTGAAAGGTGTTCATGTCAAGTAAGGTTCTTAACCAATTCAGTATTGATTAGAGCCTCTAATATAATGTCAATAAAAGGTAAGAGAGTAATAGGTTGATAATTCAAGGGATCATAATGTTCCCTTGTGTTCTTAAAGATAGGTACTACAGAGGAGGACTTCTAACAAGTTGGAAAACATTTACTGAAAAGTTTGAAAAGAACAAGAGAAATTTCTTTAGGACAATTGTAAAGACACCATGAAATCTGCAAGCCTTGTGAGGATCTAATTTAGAAATTGTTGGGAGGGAGAATATAAGTTTGGACTCGGTTGTCGGATGAAAGATATAAAAATACTCCTACATCAAGAGGAGGAGCAGTAGCTTTTGCTGAAAACAGTCATTCATGGATAAACATTCTCTTCCCTAATTTCTATTCTACATTATGTTTCCCTGTACCAAAAGGTAATAAAATTGTTGTTAAAACAGTTCTGGTTACTACTACTGTTTTTGATAACTCAGTTACAACAGAAGTGATAGCAGAAAACATGGATAGAGTTATGTGCATATCACTCAATAGAGACCCTGTTCTAGGGGAAAATCAGGCAAAGATGTGTCAAGGGTGAAGTTGGAAGAGAATTTCCGAGCAAAGTACTCTGCTTTATTTGTAGTAGATGACAACACTTCAAATTGATTGAAGAGAGGAGGGACTGGGCATTTGCTTTTGTTCAGTACACTCTTGCAGAGCTGCCAGTAATCTCTAGAACTTATGGGAAGCTATATCTTGTCTCATTCTATCAGTCAATAGTAACATTGCTTCTTTCAGGATATGCTTGCATTCAATACAAGCAGTGACAAAGAATTGGACATATTACTCTGGTATAGCCAGAGGAAGTGATTCCTGTGGGCTATATCAGCTGAACAGGCAGAAGAGAACCAAGGAGAAGATTATGATTTCACTTGGTATTTCCATGCTGTTATGAAAGCCTTAATACTGGCTTTCAACCAGGCAGAAACCTCAGTTGCACATTTCTCAACAGGATGATTAAAAATATCAATCCAATGGGCATTATGAAGGAAATCTCAAAATGAGTCCAAATCAGTGCATCAATAACAGAAAGATGCTCAGTTAATAGGGGGTTCTCACCTGATAGGATAGCATAAACAGATATCTATAGACAATACCACGTGGTCAATGTTGCTAAGTGAGCAGAGCTGCAGAGCATGACATGAGTCCATAGAGGAAGTAGGGAAGAGATCAAGTAGAGTAGTGCATCCATCAGAGTTGCAAGAGAAACCCACGTGGAAGTTTACTATTTTATTGAGAGATTGAGATTTTGAAGTTCAAAGTCTAGGTACCAGCAAGCCAGTGATGTTGTGGAGTGATGAAGCCACTTGACATGATGGCTATTGAAGCCCACAAAGACAAAGATTTTTGCAGACAAGTGTAGAGAGAGGGCATTATCTATACTATCAGAAATTCTATTCTAGCAAGCAACAGGCATGAGAGGAAAGGGAACAATAAAGGAAGAGATAACTGAGTTTAGTACTAAAATTTGGAAACACATGCAAAAACAATCTGAAGACTGAAGAGATAGTTTTCATGCCAGTTGGAGACACCAAGGTCATGCATGTGGACATGAGAGTTCTTTTGAAAGAGAGGAAGATAACCAGGAACAGAGAATTCAGTGGAAGAGATTGAAGAGTTTAGTTTAGTTTCACAAAGAGCTAATGTCTGGAGAATGTTTCAAGAGAAACAATTCTGCACTGCAGAAATTGGTATGAATGCCATGAAAGTTGCAGAAAGAAATGCTGAAAGGCTTAGGTCTTCTTTTTGATGGAGAGGCAACAGAAATATGGTTCTACAGAAAGATGCTGTGGATACCATGGACTAAACATGTGAGCAATGACAAGGTTTTAGAGAAAATGGAAACCAAAAGAAAACTTATACTTAACATCAGGAAGAGACAGTTGAAATTTCTAAGGCACATAATGAGGAAGGAAGACTTAGAAAAATTGTTACTCACAGGACAGATTGAGGGCAAGAGGAACAGAGGAAAACAACACACAACATGACAACCTTCAGAAAATGGATGGTGGAACAGAGTTTAAAAATAAAGAAAAGCTTCAAGGTACAGGAAATTGTAGAGAGTCGTGATTATCTACATCCTGAGGGGACATGGCACATAAAGCAGAAAAGAAGATTCCAGAAGTGGGTGTATTGAGCCAGATGAAATTATGTTTTTTTTTTGTTATATGAGCTGTGGATGTTGAAATGAACACTTCCATTTGAGTTAAAGAATTGGAGTTCTCACAGGATATGTCATGTTTTAATAATGTGTCTGCTAAAATTAGAATCTGTTTAATTTTTTAATCTTACCAAATCTTGATTTATGTACAGTACTGTGTCTTCTAATATCATCCTGTCTCCCTATTGGTAACCTTTATTGTCCACTGGCTGTAGCTGATTCCACAAGGAGCCCATGTATATCTTCTCTAATGTTAATGGTAATAGTGATATAATTTCTGTAAAATAAGATATGTATTTCTTAGAAATGTTTCACTGTAAGATGATTCAATTATAATAAAGTGCTTCTTCTTGGAACTCCCAGAAGTGTGTTATGGCAATGGTAAGATTAGTCATTTCCTTATAAGTAAATATTTGGCATTCATTGACCAAGCAGTTAGCATTACTCTCAGTTGAAATTTATAAAATCTTTCTCTTAAAATTATCAGGAATATATGCTTTTCAAGTCTACTGTTATTGTTTTTTCTAATATTGATGCAGGTTTCCTTCCTAACCTTTTTTCTAAGGTAGTGTGGAAAGTCAGTGTCTTGATTATGTCATTTTCTCTTCAGGTTACATGTGCTATTTTAGTTGTTGCTACTGTTGAAAGTTTTCAGTTGATGTGGTTTGTGTTATTTGTTAAAATTCTTTGTCTATGATTCTGTGGTGCCAGCATATGACACCTGATAAAGGACATTCCTCTTCAAGATGCACAGAAGCCATTTATAATCATTGAACTAAGAAAATCATTGTATATGACTGATAGTTTAGATATTTCTGAATTAGATGAGCACCATAAAAAAACATCCATATGAGAATCTAGATCTGGCAAAGTTATTTAAGAATATGACCCGCTCTGTCTCAGCTGGGGCTTAAGAATGCACTGACTGCACCTCTGCAGAAGGGTAAGATTCACCACCAAAGAGGCACCCTGGGTATGATGATAAACTAAAGCTAGCAGCAAGGCCTCCAATCAGAAGATTTTTGATGAACCTCCTCTTAATTGCTGTTGTTCCCAGGCCAAAACACTATGAAAGTGTAAAAATAGGTTTTTATAGTAAAAATACCATCAATAGATTTTTTTTTTAAATTATAACAAGCAATACATTTTTGAAAAAAAACATTACCAGCAATACATTTGACTCTCAACAAAAACCATCTTTACAGAAATATGTCAATGAAACCTGATCTAAAAACTGATTTCTTACAAAGAATTCATATTCTATTCATCTGAAACTATCCTAAAAATCTTGTCGGCAATAAATAACCCATGTGCCATAAAACAAAATAAACCACAAAAACCAAAGAATATGACTCAAGATCATAAGTTAATGTTTTGGTTGTGTAGTGTTTGACAAAATTACCTCTAGCACAAACTATTCTCTATTCAGTTTCCTTATCTCCTATAGTAAATTGGTTACAACTGATCAAAACTCTGAGATATTTATTAATTTTACATTTGGGATTCTTATGATGGATTCAGTGTATGTGTCATCACTGCTTTCATTCCAATTCCAGATCATAGTTTCTACAGTGTTTCATAACAGTGTTATGAAATGTGATCTCTTTCGTATTTTCTCAGTCCATTGGTCATCATAAATCTTGCATATCACATTCTGCTCCACTCATTAATTCTTGGGCACATATAGTCTCTATGTCTTAGGCAGACATTTACATATCACTACAAGCATGGTTGACTAGGCTCTCAGTCTAAAAGAAGGAAAATTCTGAATTTGAACTGTGAAGAAGGCAATTGGAAAACATTCCACTATCCATCCCAAGAATGTGTAGGGAGACCACAGTGTTTTCCCTTTGCATTAGCCCATGAGAGTTGTGGCCCCTTTTAGTGAGTAGAACTCTTCTGCCTTTTTTTTGTCGTCACTTCCGTTTTGGGAGGAACGACCTCTTTTCCTTCCTGACCACCAGAGCGTCCACACACGTGGAAACTGGTCAACATGGGTACGGCCTAACGCAACAAACTCATTCACTCATCTGTGGACGACCATAGGCCATGAAATTGGTAGGTGATATCTTTGTACTAATTCTGTTTAACCTCCTCGTTCCTTTGGGACAATATGGACATTTATTTGTTTTGGGACATGTATAAATCTTGTGTATATATTTACGAAGGCTGCTTGCCACATTAAATGTTTCATTGGTTACGCTCGCGTATTTCGTCTTTTCATATTCGCATTCAGTGTTAGTGTATCAATGGCTATGCTAATGCTAATATTAGTATCGGTGTGCTACTGAAGGCTAGAACGCGTTATTCTACCTAACATAGAATAATTAGTAAACTCTGTGTGGCAAATACACACCATACACTAATAAATGCTTATCAATTTACAAATAAGCAAAGTAATCTATGGAGAGTCATGATTACCTACATCCTGAAGGAAGATGACATCATGCCATCATAATAACCAGTGAAATATATTGTACTATCAATGTGAGCCCTAAAATTGGGCAACTAAATTTTTTCTTCTTTTTTGATTCATCCCTTCTTTAAAAAAAGAAAAACTCACATCTCATTTCTTTTGTTTTCATTTTTTTTCAGGGTCTCAGTTTTCCATCTATGCATACAATTTGGGGAAACTGGGCTCCACCTTTAGAACGTACAAAGCTGCTCTCTTTCACATATGCAGGTAAGTTTTATAATAAAGTTTTGTAATACCCCAATTAATTTTTTTAATCATTTGTCTGAACACTTAATATATAGATGTTGTTGTATTCAGATGCAAATCTCTCACACATTTATACAGTTGATACAGCAGAAGGCTAAAAAATCCTAACCTTAAAGACAAAACTAGAGAAATAGTAGCAAATACTTTTGACTAATTATAGTTTACAACATTCTATTCACTACTATTTCTCTAGTAGTTTCATCTCCAAGGTTAGGATTAGTTTTGCCTCCAGCTGTATCAACTGCTATTTATAAAATGGAGATTTGCATATGAATACAATAGATGTTCCCATACCTTTCAACAATTTCTCTTTTAAATGAGCATGAAGGAAAATTCGAATATGATTTAAAATCATTTAGTCTGATCAAAAAGTATCAGGACAATCGCTATGATAATGGAGCTAAAGTACACAAAGTGAAGCTGCTTGGCGCAAATTGACCTTGAACACATACAAACTAAGTTTTAACATTCTCACTGTCTTCATTATTTAAAGTAGTTCTTGGAAGAAAAGTGTGTAGAGTGTGGTCATATCACCACACCACACCACAGTGACCATGGCTTGTGAAACCATTTTTGGCTAAGCAAATTCCCCAGATCTGAAAACCACCATAATTCCCAGATTTCACTCCTTTTTCCTCTTCAAAAATCAAATCCCACTTACAAGATGATGAGGAAATCCAAGAGAATGAAAAGAGGCAGCTGCTCGTTAATCCAAAGAAAAAGTTCCAAGAATGCTTCCAATAATAGAAATGATGCTGGATAAAGTGTGTAGCTTCAGAAGGGAACTATTTCAAAGGAGATTAAATGCCAAATTGATATGTGTTGTAGTTTTTCTTTTATAGCACCAGTCTGGATACTTTTTGATCAGCTCTCTCATATATATTTTTAGATGAAAAAAATTTTTATACAATAAGTGATTATTAGGGCCATTTTGATCAGGCCAAATATTAATACCCACTGTAATTTTTTTTTTTTTTAACAGGCACTTTTCTAGGAAATGTTGTAACATTTCCAATTTCTGCTCTTCTATGTGAATATGGCTTTGGAGATGGATGGTCTTCTGTGTTTTATGTCTTTGGTGAGTATTAAACTATGATGCCTAAAGACTACAAAATTATTCATTTGTATATGAAGAGTTACTGGAAAGTTCCCACTTTTTAAAATCTGACCAAAAGATCAAACATCAAATTTCATTTTGGAACCCCTTCTTGCTGTGCCCAAGAACTTTTCCGTATACCCTCATATATATATATATATATATGTATATGTATATATATATGTGTGTGTGTGTGTGTGTGTGTGTGTGTGTGTGTGTGTGTGTGTGTGTGTGTGTGTGTGTCCTTTGGGAGATTGCATATCTAACAAAAATGTAAATATATATGTTTGGTTTCATGATAGCAACACTACCAAGAAGACTTACTTTACACATGCTGGATGCAAGTTCTATTGCATGACATTTAAAGAACATTCCTGTCCATATTCATGTTCTTAAAGAAATATTAATTGACAATACAAGCATACTCCACCATGAAAATAAAAAAAAATTCTTGAAGTGCTCTACATAAAAAATGCAGCCAACACTAAATAAAATGAATTATGAGTATAGCAACAATGTTTTAAAATGTCTATAAAAGCAATGTTTTGGGGTGCTGAAATTGCAAAAAAAATTTTATTTAAATTTTTTAAAAGGATTGCAGGTTGAGTATTTTTAAAATATTAACAATAAAAAATTTAAACTAAATTACCTTCCTTGCATATTCTTAACATAAATTGACTATAATGGAGTGCATTTCATGCACATTTACAAAAAATTCTCAACTATCAATTACATTAATTTTTGCCTTAACAGTTCACCACTGAAGATGATCTTGGATAAGATTGAAGGTACTTGAGAAAATAAAAGAAATGAAAAAACTACTGAATTTGAGAGGATTAAAATTAAAAACAAATAGACCTAATGTCTAAATTATTCAACCAAATATGCTTGAATGAAGATATGCTACCTAAATATATACATATATGCTATCGTACCTAGACTTTATGAACTTAAGTGCTGTACTCAATATGGTCAATATTTCATGAAGGAGACTTCCTGATGTTATCAGTCTGGAGGGGGTGATCCCAGTGTATGGAACCTTTGGAAAGTGCCTGAAAACCATACCATGAGTTGACTCAAAACTTGTGAGTGAAATTGGGTAGATGGTACACAAGTGTTTGACTGTGTTGGCATTGATCAGATTGTTGATGGTCTCTCCCAGAAACTGTAACTAAGGTCTGCTCAGCATAGTTGCAATATAAACTACAGGTGAGGTCTGTGGGTGTTGAACAAACACAAATGTTTAGATATATAGCCATATATATATATATATATATATATATATATATATATATATATATGATAGAATTATTTGGTAGTCCATATGGATAATCTAAAGAAGATAGAGATCCAGAGAGAGCTCAGTGTAAGAACAAAGCAAATGATAATTAAGAAAACGGAGATTTTGGTCTGAGGAAGCAAAACTGAAATATCATTTTTGTGAAATAAAATATTTATTACCATGGGTTTCTAAAGTCAATTTTTTCTTAATTATATATATATATATATATATATATATATATATATATGAGTGTGGATCAATAAGTCTGGCACACTACTAACTTTTGTTTTCAGATTGTCATTATAAAATATTCAAACTATTTGATTAATGTTTTTTTTAATCATTCTGCCTCAAGCAAGGTAATATTACCACCAGGAGGCAGGGGATTATGTGGAGTTCCTTTATTGTCCTTTTCTTCTAAAGTCTTTTTAGTGAGAAGTGAAGAAAAGGACATTAAAACAACAGATTTCAGGAAGACAGAAGATGGTGATCAACATTGCATTTAAAGTTTTGAAGATGGTAGGTGACAAGAAAATAAGATATCAGAAGGTTTTTCCACAGGCAGCAAGTGTGAGAAATGAAGCTATTAGAATAGAACACAGAGTTGCATCTAGCTAGTTCAACAGTAAAACTGTGAGGCCTAGTTACCACCCTAGTGGCATACATAAATTCATGCAGTCAAAGCACTAAAGAGGAGAGCTCATCAGAACAATTGCCATAAAAATATTTGTAGATTCCATGCCACTTCAGTGGAAAAATGACTGAAGTTAATATGCCAAGTCAGAATCGATTACATTACAGACCCTTCTTTGAATTTTGTCAAGAATCTCAAGATTTATAATAGCAGCACCAGGCAAGATGTGGTAGAAGTATTAAATGTATGAATGAATGGTAGATTTATAAATGTGCAAGTAGGATTCTGAGAAGAATTGTTTGCTATGACACATTGATCAAAATTTCCTAGCCGTAGACGTAGCAATTGATTGAATATAATCACTCCACATGTCAGTGGAAAACTTGAGCCCAATAAGGCACAAAATGTTGCTTCCCGCCTTGCCTTGCTGATGGAGAACAGAAAAGGTTCTCTATGATGATTAAATGAAAGCCATTTTGTTTTGGAGGTGTTAAAATTTACAAGACATTCCTTGCCCAAGTTAACCACTTATTGGATTGCTTTTCAAGAGCAATTTCCAGTTTCACTTTGTTGGATCTGTCAGTCTTGCTACTAAGAGTAAATAGTTGTCATCCGTATAAATACCTACTTTGGAAACTGATGACATCAGAAAGATCATTGATGAAAATCAGAAACAACATATGTCCAAGGATAGAAAATGAATTATGTGAATTGTCAAAGAAGAGTATTATTTAAAAAAAATAGGTGTATATTTTTGTGCAAAAGACATGCTTTTAGGGGCATTAAACTGATTTATGTACTTTATATATATATATATATATATATATATATATATATGTGTGTGTGTGTGTGTGTGTGTGTGTGTGTGTCAGTAAAAAAGTAACTACTGACCAGTTTTTCACATAAATGTTCTACCATCAAAATGGTCTTACACAAGATATTTCAATTTGCATATGAGACCCAGACAAGGTTTCTCTTAAGTCCTACTCTACCAACCAGAGAACAATTTGCTGAACAAGAAAGTCATCAGAAAAGAGTAGTCTTTTATCCTCACCATATGAGCTGTCAATCATAGATGAGTCATTATTTACATTAAGATTTATGTCCTCATCTTTGTTGTTATTATCACTATGTTTCTGCTATTGTGACCTCTGGCCTTCTTCAGGGTTCTGTCAATCCATGAAACCTTCAGAGAATTTTAAAGAGATCACTTTTTTAATTTACAGGAGTAGATTGTTCTTGTTCTGCTGTCCAATTTAATGATTAAAATAACAAAAAATTATTTAATAAAAATGCATATTTTTTTTTGAATATCTTTTCTTTAAACCTTTATATATAAGAATCCAGTTTCCAGTTCACCCCGCATTTGCAAGAACTATAAACAAATCACATTGAAATTTGGCTCCAGAAAGAAATATTTATGTATGGTCAGTTGTAAGTTGCATACTCAAGAGTAGGAAATCCTAAGAATTAATTTATTCTTTGCTGTTAAAAAGGAAAGAGGAAAAAAAGAAATTTTCTTAGAAAATATTGTTTACCATGAAGTCCTATTAAATTAAAGAAATTATTAAACTGTGAAGTAGAGTCTTTGTCAAAGTATTTTTTCCAAACAAATCAGCTTATTCAAATTTCATTAACTAGTTCGCGAAATTGAACAAAACATAGTTTGTAAATCTCGCCAAAAAATGTTAGCCGATGAACTTTCCTTTATAGTACCTAGATTTTATGAATTTAAGAGCATTACTAAATTGACTGCAAGATCTCATCCTTTTACATTTGAAATGGCTATCTGTAACCATAAGTCTTTTGCTAACAGTTTTTTCTCTCACACTTCTCACATGTGGGACTCTCTTCCAAATTCTTGTTTTCCAGTCAACTTTGATCTTCAAAAATCTAAATGCAATATCAATTGTTATCTTCTGTATTCTTAATTCCTGTTTTTTTATTGTTCTCTCTCCTTAATAATGTTTTCTTTTTCTCATATTCTATCAGTCTCAGTAACTCCTTGTGTCTTAGTGGTTTTATTGCCTTGCTTGGGGTGAAATGATTTTTAAAAAATCAATTGAAAATTATTAAAATTATAAAAATTTTATATAAAAATGTTTTGTTTACCTGTTGTTATTAGGTGCTGGTGCTATTATCTGGACCATAATATGGTTGTTGGTTGTAACTGACACACCAAGTGAGCATAAACGAATCACAAAAATAGAAAAAGACTACATTATTCATAGTTTAAAAGGAGAAGGAACTGTTGGAAAACAGGTAAGAATCTCTTCTATATGAATATGTGTGAATGTCTGTCCTCATTCAAAAAACAGGTAGACGATAAAACAAAAGCATGTCTGAAATTCACAAATTCACTTTTTATTTTATAACAGCAAATATCAAGTATGAATGCACCTGTTTTTATTCATGGACATTAACAATGATTTCTGCAATATTTGCAACTTTTTACTTAAACAAGAACATATAATTAAGCGGTATATCCAGAGCTTAGATTAAATCAGCAGTCATGTGTCCATGATCAAGGTGAACTTTCAAGTCAGATGATATTGGTTGTAGTCTAATCCAGAGAGAGATGGATGCTGCCAGGTCTACTTGCCCAAAATGTGTGATGCATGAATAAATACATTTCTCACATGCAACTGGATTGGTTGTCACTCTGGATTTTTCTGGGAGATCCTTTGTATATCTAGAAGGAATAGTCAAACGTTCAGCTGGGCAGGGACTCTAGAACAACACCCAGACATGGGACTGATGATAACAGTGGCAATGGTAGTGGTGGTTATAAACATTCAATACCCAAATAACAGTCAACTATGAATTTTTATTTTAAATACCATGTTCCTTCAGGATACAACAATTGCATCTCTCTTTGAATTCCTTTTCTTTATTATCTGCAAATAGCCACGACTTCTTGTGTAGTTTACCCACTGTCTTTGAGCTAAATTTTTGGAGTTGGCCTTCTTCTTGACAGGCTGACACCCAAGTCAAGAGAGCTCAAACATCCTTGCTATTTAACCCATAGTTTGGGAGAGCAGAAAATTGATTCACACCTTAATTCATTAGCATGAAGTGAATGCAACAGGCTAAGCTGAAATTTGTCCTTGGCTCACCAATTCCCTTTTCCACAACTGATGATTGTTATGTTCCATCAGAGGTTCCCAGACTTTTTTCCTAGCTGTTGCTTCCTTGGTTCCCAAGTCACAACCTAAGCACACACCCCCATACTCATATGAAGATAGTTTTTTCTTAGTATTAGGTAGACTACAAATTAAAACCAACACCTAATCTAACACTGTAAATACTCATATGCAACTTGGATTTTTTTTAGATAATATTAAATAAGATGAACATCCATGCCTATATTGTTATATATAGAAACCTAGAGCATTGGACCCTACAGTCATCAACTGTCTGATCTGGTTGGTGTTTGGCGCACCCTGTCCAAATAGCATCAGAAAAATACAAACAGATGTCTACACTAACTTCCAATAACAAAATAAATTAAAATCATGCATTTGTGTATAATCCTTATAGTAATTATATTATTTATAAAGTATATGTGTTACTTAAGTTACTTACATGATTCTAATGTCACCCTGCCACGCCCTTCTACCCACTTTTTCCTAACCATTTCCTTGACTGTTCCCTTTCTACTGACTACCCAACTGGATCTTTACCCATGCTGTATGATGTTAGAAATAGCATTTTACCTGAATATTTGCAATTATAAGCAAGAGTATCCATTAAAAATGTATCAAGTATACTCAAGAATGCAAATTTATCATCTGGTAACCCTTGTACTTATTCTAAATAGTCTTCCAATAGGAATGAGATACACAGCCTAGATATAATGAATCTTCTTTGCTGAGAATGAGATGGAGAGGCAACCACTCTTTCGGAAGCTATTTTTATATGAGGAACATTCATATCAACATGGAAGCATCTTATTTTACTGGTATTTATTTGCTGTTTTGTTGAATTAAGAATTTCAGTATAATTAACACAACATCTGTAACTCTCAGCACAATATCCAGTAACAAGGACACAACAATTAATAGCAGCATAATACTCTTTATTATTAAACACCAATTCAATGATTATCTTACTACATAAGCATTGTGTGATTTTTGCAATGGCACCATTGTGTCTGAATTTTATATATGAAGCATTGTTATGATTATTAATTTTGAGTATTTCTTTTGATCTAAGGTTTACAGCCACATCACACTGAAACATTGGTTCCGGTACAATTGCCAAAGTTAAGCAATGTTGAGCCTGGGTGACCACTTGGGAATACAGGTGCTGTAAGCATGGATTTGCAAGTGGGTTGTGCATGTGGGCAAAATTATATGTAGTAGATATATAAACACCCACCCCAGAGTTGGAAGGGAGAAGAATTCATATAAAAATATAGAGTCCATGTTTGGAGAAAAAATAAAATGTAATGTTATGTATGGGTGATTGGATATCCTGCTTTCATTTAAGTGTAAAATATCACATTTAAAAATAAATAGGTTTTTCATCACTAGGCTACAGACTTACTGACTTATCTACAAAAACAATAATACCATCTTCTCATCAGTATTACAAATTTGTATACTATCAAAGAGGTTTTCATATTATTAAAATATACAAATTAATTTGCATAGATGCATCATGGAATTTCCAGGGGTCCTATAATTAAAATTAATTCTACCTCAATACCTTTTATGAAAAGTACCGAAATCTAAAGGTGCAATTGGATAGGGAAAGATACCTTCCAAAAGCTAAGCAAAGTATTAAGAAACAAAAATTTCATTAGAAACAAACAAAAAAGAGTATTGAACTGTTATGTAATATCAGTCCTTCTATGTGGTAGTAAATGCTGGACAATCTTCTCACAGATAAAAAGAGACTTGAAGTAACAGAAATTTGGTTCTACAGAAGGATGCTGAGAATACCATGTACTGAACATGTGAGCAAAGAAAACAAAAACAAAAAGGACACATATATAAACTCAGAAATGGACAATTGAAATTTCTGTGCTACATAATGAGAAAGGAGGGCTTGGAAAATTTGACACACACATGACAGATTGAAAGCAAGAGGGACAGAAGAAAACAACGCATAATCTAAGTAACGAGCTTGTGTAAATGGGTAGCAGAACAAAGTTTAGGAGAAATAATAAAAAGATAAAATTTACTAAGAGCTACAAAGGATTGGAAATTGGGGAGAGACATTATCATCAACGTTCTGAAAGGATATGACACATAGATGAAGAAGTGATGCTGAAAGGCAAAGTAATACATCTCTCACAGTGATCGAGTATCTTGTCTTCCTTGTTTGACGTCTCTACTTAGTGTATTTCCTCCTTCTTTTGATTTTTCACTTCCCTCTACTTTCCCCACCCCAGTTTTTTTTTTACTCATCTGTCATCTAAACTCATAGTACTGACACCATGAAGTCATTATCACTGTTATTATCAATAACTAATTTAAATATTAATTTTATTGTCTACCTGCATGGCTGGTTTAAATTTGTTACCAATAATAAAATAATAATAATACATAAAGATGCTGGAAGAATGGTTGGTTCACTGTATTGCTCAAGAAAATATCTAACTCCTTTATTGAAGCATTCTCTCAGGAGTTTGTTCCACAAAGTAACAGTTCTAGAGAAGAAGCTGTCTGAGTGGAACTAGCTTTTTATAAAAGGAAGATGAAGAGAATGAGGAGAGTTTGCCATCATGAACAAAACATGGCAGGTCCTAGCTGTGAAGGTCTGAGCTGATGAAACTAAAGAAATGTAACCCAAATTTCATAAAATACATTTATTGAATGCTTTAGTACACATCATCTAGCTCAGGTTCATTAGGGGTTTCAGGTCATACCCCCCTCTAGAGTGACCCAGCCAATACTGATCGGGTATCGACTTGTGTACCTTCTGTTAGCTACAAATTTTTCTATCTTCCCAACTACACACCATGCAACTCCTCTTGGCAATTTATTGTCCAATCCCAGATGACTTCTGGTTCACCAGCAATGTGCGTTCTTCCATAAAAAAAGGAAGCAAATGCAGTCACAATTTCTATCTGATCAGAAATATGGAAGCATGCTTGGCTTGAAGTGGTAAGTACCGATTTGATTCCCCTCACTGAGACATATATACATACATGCACACACAGAGAAATGCACTTAAGCATCACATTTTGCTTACACTTAGCCCATTTTTATTCATGTTAATCATCTGCCAAAGGAAAAGCAAAAGAGAGAAAAAAATTTATTTCCTTTTCCTCCTTCCCACTTTCTTCCTTTTTCATCCTTGATCCTCCCTCTATATGAGTTACACACATGCACACACCAACATACACATCTAAAAAAAAAAAAAAAAAAATGAAATACCATAACCCTGGTAGGAAGGCAAACAGATGCTAAATCTTAGCCAGATATCACCCATGTCCGCTAGTCGAGACTCCATTGTCAGGTGTAGTTTTAGGTCCTACCCAGGACCTCCCCACCCACCCCCAAAAATTATGTATATATAAACTGCAACTTCCTTTCATTTCCTTACTGACTGCCAATCACTTGATCTTTTCAACCAAAGCCATCTAGAAGCCTCTTCCACTGCCAAAGTTATTGAGCAAGTAGCTTTGTTTTTTGCCAAACCGGTTACACCTAATTTTGGCAACATCTTACATTGAGACCACCCAGCAAAGCCTCTGCAACTGATTTCAATCAGTTTGCACTGAGCTCGCCAACTGCATCTTTTGCATCCCTCTACAATCAGTAAATATTTCATAAGCTTCCTTTCATGGGCTTCATCCATATTTTCTTCCCAAGGGACTGATAATTCCAACATGATTATTTGCTTGGTCTTTTCAGAATAAATAACCATGTCTGAATGAAGCTTAGTTTGTATTGTTTCCACTGGAAATTTAAGCTGCTTGCTTATATCTACTCTCAATTGCCAGTCCCCGGGGCAGAGCTGAAGAAGGATATTTTCTTCTTCTGCGTTGTCTTTACTTTTTCCTTGGCTCTGACAAAATTCATCGTTTTCTTATTTTGCTCATATCTATTTTGTATTAGATTCCTTAATACTATTGTTGCAAGGACACCTAAAACTTTATCATGATGCCACCTGTACCTCTCCTTACTAAGCATCTTGCTGCTCAATATGTATTGGAGGGATCCTCTCTTCTGGCACACTGGACAAATTGGAGACTCACTCTTACCCCACATGTGGAGGTTTGCTGGACTGGGCAGTGTATCATACACTGTCTGCACAGGGAATCTTGTATTACTGGGATTAGTATACCAGAGATCTGTCCAGGAAATCTTCCTTTTTTTCCAGGTTTCCCTATATCATTGAGGACCCCTGTTGACCTAAAGCCACCATTTTACTTAATCTAATTTCCTCCACACCCACTCTCACTTCATACTGAAGACAGTGTTTATAATTTTTCCTTTTTTTACCTCCCTTGTGGATTCAAACAGTAACCTAGGCCTGATCTACCCACTGTTACTGTTTCTACTAGCATTTTCTGTCTCAACCTTTGCTCTTCTGTACTGAGCTCATGCAATGCCTGCCACTTTCGCCCAGTTTGAAACATCTACCATAGTAATAGCAATATAGTAGTGAAAAGCTGGCAACATTTTGTTTGTGGGATAAGAGTTGCAAGGTGGAGAATAATTCATCACCCACAAGGCTGTGAAAGTACTTTTGAACTCTGTTGAAGCTGGGCAGTGGGTAGCACTAGCCCAGATATGGCAGCAATACTTCATTCTTGGTCTGAATCAACACTTGTAAAGATAGTGTGCATTTTTATTTATATAATAAGACCTTTATTGATCAACTGAACTTAAAAAGAAAAAAATTAATGCTTCTTACATTATAGGAAATAAACCCTATTTTCAGCACAATTACATTCCCAAATACATATCATATTAAAACATGCCCAAATTTTATTTTGTATCCAATAACAGACAATATTTAGAAACGTGCTAAAAAGAATCTGCAATTCATAGCATTTAAATCAAAGTGTCTATTGGTTAGAAACTAATATCACTATATGAAATATTTGACCAATCAAAGAAAACTAAAACCCTATTTTTCTCAATCCTACTTGACTATTAATACCACAATCATATAAAAAAGGTGCTGAAAATTCCCCAGCCCAAACAAGAAAATTTTTATGTTTTTCATTTGGTCAAATTTTATTTTAATAGATTGTGCTAAGAAACCTCATAGTCTTTCAATTTAACATTAAAATTTTACTGAAAAGTTTTGCATTCTGAACAGTTTGTTAAAAAGATATTGTGGTTGTTAAGATTAGGATGGGTATGTGTGGTGTGGTGTAATGGATAACAACTCAGAATTAGAAATCGGAAACCCGAGTTCAAATTACAGTCAGGTTCATTACGCTCACTTATGCTCAAATACCCTCGGGTAAGGTATGAATCTATCTCTTCTTTTCCCAGCCATGGGTTGAAAAGCAGGAAAGACTGGGTCCTATGGCTTTGGTTGGCAACCAAATTACTACAGAAAGAAATGGTAACCTACTGCAGGAAAATCTGAGAGTCATAAATCAAAAGAGACATGATCGCCCAAGCATGTATCATGTATGGCATTTAACTGACTGACTGAGGATTAGTTGAAACATCTGTACATTTCTTACAGAAAAAAAAAACCCAATAGCATCTAATAAATAAATATTGTTTAATATTTTGTTCTAAATTCTCAAAAACAAAAAAAATTATAAATTCACTTTCATATATTTAGGTATTATTACAGTTCTAATCATCACTTTTTAAAACAATAAACATTGCCAAGGAGTGAAGGTAATTAAAATAATAGTGATGTCAAAGGAAAAACTGTTTGTTTTTGTTTTTTGACACAGCAACTTTACCAAAATATATATTGTAAAATTCATCCACATGTTGAAATTTATTTCTTCTGAAAATGTTGAATTCAATTTCTTCAAATGTTTTCAACTTCAATTTCATTCTAATATAAACATGTAGATATGTAACCTCCACAATATTCATATATTTAATTAATTTAATTTTTTACCCTAGTTTTCTACAAGCCAATTAACAATTTAAAGACTTCATTGTAAATAAAAAACCTGAGAGTTGAAATAAAAGATTTTAATGATCCCATAACAAAGTTATAACATTTTTTTAATATTAAAAACTTTGTCTTAATTTTTACCAAATAAATTTTTGTTGAATTTTTTGTTGAATGCTTTTTGCCATATAAAGGATTTATACAAAACTCATTATCTCTGCTTAAATTTAAATGCACACAATTTTTGAGTTACCTTCATTTCAAGGAGAATTCAGATTTCAGATTGCAACATTTTAAACACAGCAATTGATACACTTTTATACTTAAATAAAAGCAAAATTATTCATTGAAAAAATATTGAAATATATTTATTCTTGAATATGCCAGAAATATTACAAAGACAAAAATTACTAAAGCAACATATCATTTTTGTTTAGTGTTAAATTTTACAATAAAAAATGTACCTGTTAAAAATAGTGTTCTACCTTATGCATACCAAGTTCAATTTCCAATTGTTTCCTTCACATTGCACTAATGCCTTTGGAAAAGGCATGAATCAATCTTCCTCTAGCTATATGTTAATTAGCAGTGCAGACTGAACTTTACTGCCTTGAGGTGGTAATCAGTCTAGGAAATGTAAAACTGAATTTAAAATCAGACTGAAAAAGGGATAGATTCCATCAGGTCATCTTACCCTAGACACACTGCTACTTCTATATTTGCAGTACATGTTGTTTCCCTATGACCTTAGTAGGTTACAGGACCCATGACCTGACATGACATCCTTCCTTAGTGCTTTGCTTATATCTATATCTACCTATATTTGGAATTAACTTGTACTGTTTATCCTACATGTTTAGATACATGAAGGGGGAATCAATAAGTCTGTAGCCTAAGTTGCATTTTTACTGAATCTTGATCTTAAATTTTCACTGTATAATGTTCAGTCTATATAATTAATATTCACCACTAAATTAAAAGCATTGATAATGGAGGAGATTATGCTGAAAATTTTTTTTTTTTTTTTTTTACTAATTTTTTCACCCAATACAAGACCCAAGAGCTACTCATTTACTCCTGAATGAGGTTGTTGTATGATCATATAACGTGGAGGTAAAAAGTGCAGATTATGAGGAAAGAAAATGGTTGACCCTAGACTTGAAAAGATTAAGATTGTAGTGATCAAGAAATTATCCTCTCAGGAGTCTGTTTTATAAAGTAGCAGCTCTTGAGAGGAAACTATGCAAGTGGAACTTCCTCCTTACTAATGGAATATGAAGGGAATGGAGATGATTCAGCCTTGTGTATGTGGCATGGCAGGTTTTAGCTGTGAAGGTCAGAACTGGTGGAACTAAGCTCAACAGAATATTTGCTATGGAAATAGCAATAGAGTAGCAAGAGGCTTTGTGCCATTTCATCTGTAGGGAAAGGGGTTGTAAGGTGGAAAACAATTTAGTGAAAAATGTTCAGAAGAGTTTTATGGAATTCAAGGTTTTATTAAGCAACCATTTATGTTGCTGGAATGACGATTTTTAAAGTTATTAAAATATGATGTTGTGTAAAATATATGCTTTTCTTTTTTCAGCAATTAGGCTACAAACTTATTGATGTAATTACATATTTTGTATTTTTTACCTTTCATTTTTTTTGCAGGCGGTGGGGGGATAATAAACTTTACTGTTTATTTTCATTTTCATTTTGGAATAATTTTTCTTCTTTATAAATTTTTTCCCCTACCAAATCTAAGTTCTTGTGTCAAACACAAAAACTTAGTTAATAGGAATAGCAAGTCATAATAGATGCAAATCACAAAACAAGACTCAACCACTGCATGAAATTTTAAAGGAAAAACATTTATTACACAATTAACAAAAAGGTACAAAAACAAAGTTTGCACAAAAATTTCCTTTTGAGCACCTATCAAGGCAGGATAACAAGGATTACCATTGAAAAATGAAAAAAATTACAGCTTGGAAAAAGACAAAAAGAGAAAACAATTTAAGGCAGTAGTAGAACAAAGGTGTAACTACCTTTAAAAAAAAATGAAAATGCTCACCTTTACTTGCCCCACAAGCATCTCTGGGACATAAAGTAATTTTTGAAAAGTCCCTTTTAAATTCACACTCTCTTTGGGACATAAAGTAATTTTTGCAAAAAGTAACCCTTGATTAAATTCACACTGTCTACTTGCTTGGGAAAAATCTTTTTTCTTTAATTTATTTGTTCAACCACAAAGCTGACCCCATTCTGGTTCTTACTAGGGCTTGAGACAATGTCTCTCATTGGTCAGTATATATGAAAAATAATTTTCCATGAAATAGAAATGAATCCTTCAAAAATTTTGGCAGGTTTTAACTACTGAACAAAAAAAAATATACAAGTGTAACAATTTTTTACATAAACCGTCTGGCCTTCATAAAAATACACTTCTCTCAAAAGAATGTGTACAAAAAAAAAACAACCCAAATGATTAAACATTTATTAAAGGCTAATGTTTTAAAAGTAGTAAAAATACAATTTTTATATCTTCAGATAAAACTGAATCACTTGAATTTCTTCTCTGATTTTCTAATTTAAATAATTCTTTTTTTTTCTTTTTTTTTTTTTGTTCTTTCAGAAAATAAAGATTCCCTGGGTGAAAATGATGACTTCAATGCCAGTACAAGCTATCATTGTGAGTAACATTTCTGCAGATTGGGGCGTATACACATTACTGACTGGAATACCAACTTACATGAAAGAGGTTCTCAAGTTTGACATAGCATCGGTAAGTTTTTAATTATTTCAAACATGTTTGAAATTTTTAGACACAACTCATAGAATTTCTTAAAGTGATTTCAACAAAAATAATTTTCTTTGAAAATTAGATAACACAATTTCTTTTAAATGTTTTATTGGGTCAAACATTTTATAATTTTTGTCTGATTTTCTGAAATGAGGAGTTATCATTATTTATATTTGGACTAATCTTCACATCTTTGGTGTCATTAATATTACTTTATTGATAATAACAATATTAGTCCAAATGTAAATTATGATAACTCCTGTTGGTCTCAATCTCATAGGAATGATCACTAAAAACATCTCCACCCCATACTTATAGACAAATCCTACTGATGCATGCTGGGAGTTCTACCTAACCAATGAAATTGATCATTTCACATTCTCATCTGCCATATTTTTGTTCTTGTCTTGAAATCAGAATGCTACAATCACTTGACTGTATCCCTTTTGCATATGAACACCATTCTTACTTTATGAACATTTTGCTTTATTATTGTTGCTCTGCCAAGTTTTGACTTGTTTTGTTTGCTTAGTATTATTTTGCCCTGTTCTTTTTCTTTCTTTTGTCATTGTTTATTAAGAACTTTGTCAATTCCATTTCTTGAGCAATTTTGCCAATTACACTTAACTATGGCCAATTACTCTACAACTCCTCATCCAAGAAATTCAGACATTTTATACTTTCTTAAAAACTTTAATAATATTTTTTAAAAAGATAAAAAATTTATAGTATTTTATATGTGAAAAGTGTGTGTATATAAATATAGATATATATATATATATATATATATATATATATATATATATATATATATATATATATATATATATATATATATATTATATATTATATGCGCGGTACTTATTAGAAAGTGCTCAATATCAGAGATAGGGCTAACATATTTGGTTGGATTGATGAGAGTTTGTGACCCTGGGTTTCACACTTTTGCAATCATAGTATTTTATATGTATTTTGAAGCTGATTTAAATATTTTCAGACTTTTAGTATTTGTATTACAATTTTTTTATATCTTAATAATGCTTTACTTGCATTTTACTGTTGTACTATTGTTATATTTTAAGTACCTAATAATTCTTTATCTTTTTAGTAAGTTTTCATATCTATATATACATGCACATATGTAAATATTCAGATAAAACAGATTTTTATTTACCAATCCAACAGATTTTTATCACTTTAAAGATTATTTTTAGTGGATACTGATATTTGAGTAGACGCTCCATTTATTTATTAAACAATGTATTTATTTTCACCTATCAATCTCAATATTCAAGAAATCTTATTGAAGAACATTCACTATCTCTAAATAAGTTTAAAGTGATAAAAATTCAGATATAAAAAAATATCTGTTTAATGACAATATGCATAAAGATAAAAGATTTTTTTTCTTTTTACCAATATGTTTAAATACTCCCTTCTCAAGTCAGCGTACATTATCACAAATTTTTGTAAAAGATAAAAGAATACATTTAAATCAAAACCTTCTATTTTAGCATGTTGACTACTTCTATAATTAATGTATAAGGTTTCTACGAGAATATTTTACATGCAATAATAATGGTGAAAAGGTACATGCACAAAATAAGAGAGACCAACTTATTTGCAATACAAGATAACATTTATTTAACAAAATTAACAAAAAGAATGTTTAAGAGTTTCTTTTCCTAGAAATATATTGAATACACAACAAAAATTGTTAATGAAAATATTTGAGTGCAACTTGCCTGTGTATGTGTGTTTGTGTGTGAAGCACCCACAGCCCTTTTGGTTTCAGTCTGCAAAGTTGATGGCATACACTTCAAAAAGAGGGAAAAACAGGAAAAGGATTTACTTAAGGGTTTGCCTGTTTTCATACCCTCAGGACTGCTGCTGATAATATGTTTATTAAGGCACTATTATTTAAAATAAATATGTAAATAATTTCTCAAATTAAAATATTAAATAATTATATTAATATAAAAAAAAATAAATATATATGAACAAATAAGAAAATAAAAAATTCAACAATAACATTTATTCATTTTTGTTTATTAGGCATTAAATTACATCACTTAGCATCCTTCATAATCTATCTTTCACAGTTAGCCTTAAGAATATTTTTGAGCATTCTTAAATTTCAAAATTTCAAAAACCTAATGATGTTTTTACTACTTTTGATAAATACATGTAAAATAAAATCCTTACATTTAACTTGATAAAATCTGTAAGAGAATTAAATATGTTGGTAAAAAAAGTTTTCTTTTTGTCTTTATTCATAAAAACATACATTTTCTAATTAAGTATAGGTTTTGTCTTTCATTGCAACGTAACAGAAAAACATATTAAAATACACACACACACATACATAGACTTCTTTTGTTCTGTTATGTTACATGTGCATGGTAGAATGGAAGAAAAAAAAAAAGAAAAAACAAAACAAGTACCACTTGTGAGGTGAAAGGAAAAGAAAACAAGAATTGTTAATATATGGTTCTTTAGTTGCCATTGGTAAAAGAAATTGGTGCAAGATTGTGTTGGTCTCAAGTGGATATGTGTGTCAGGTTTGTTGGCCAAGGTCATGGTAGTAATGTCAAAAGCCTACCAGGTATCAACAGCTGACCTAATTGCCACAATTTTGTCTCGGTGATTAATGAGTGGCTTTCTTAAAAGCAAATTGTAGAGGTTCCTAAACACATCTTCTGTTTAATGTTTGTTTCTTTTTTCTGGCGACAACTTTCATGATTGCCTTATTTTATGTTGTTATTTTATATTTTTTGAGGGGATTTGTTTTGTGGGCCAGATGTGATGCTTGGAGCCTCTTCACAGAGGAGTGTCAATCAGATGAAAAGCAAACCTATCTACTCCTATCATATATTATATCTAATATAAAGAAGGTAAAAATATTTCAGAATCACCAACTATGCAGCTGCAGTTAGCATACCATGTGTAAGTCGGGGTTGAATGAATCTAAATTTTTTGTGCATATTGCAATAAAAAAGCTGATTCATTTGCATAGAGACTCTACACAACCTGCTCCTTATAAGAGAAGTCAATGACAAAAGTGTGGTAGTAGTATCCTATGTTCACTCTGTACAAGCAATGGGCTAACCTCAGTTGGCTTGTAACTCCTATTTTCCTTTTGTAGCTGAGTTTTGTTTAGTTGAATAAAACTTAGCACTTTTACTGTTGTCCTGAGCTCTGTTTACTCTTATAATTACTACAATTTATTCAACTAAACACATAGATAAAATCTAGCATAGAAACAGCATGGAAGCCAAAATGCTTGGATATCAAACCTTGTTCACCAACAGCTGCCAGAGACTACTGCTATTGGCAAACTATCCTACTTAACTATATAGATGATTACCAGGAAAGAATACCAAACAAAAGCCAGGGTCTCTTGAGTTGTATAAGTCCCAGTGTATTTAAGTATATTGAAGGATGTGTAGATTTTGACATGGCTATAAGAAAATTGGATGTTTTATTTATTAAAATGCCCAATAAGATGTTCGCAAGGCACCTGTTGACCACAAAACAACAGAAGCTGGGATCGTCTCTGGATGTATTTTTCAAAGAACCAGAAAAGCTGAAAAATAACTGCAATTTTAAAGACCATACTGCTAAAGAATGTAGTAATGAAGCTATGAGAGATGCCTACATTTCAGGTTTACGTTCGCATTCCATATGGCAACATCTCTTAGAAAATAGAACCATAGATCTACAAACAACTTACACTCAAGCGTCTGCACTGGATTTAGCACAAAGAAATAATGATTTATATACTGCCCCAGAAGCTCAAATGGTGTAATCGTACAACTCCCTCCCTAGTTGTCCAAGACATCCGACAGCATGGCTGGTTGCTGAAGTGACTGCTTCAATCCCAAGCTAACCTTATCCCACATTGTTATTTAAGGTTGATCATAAGGCAGCCAAGATTAAATCATCACAGGTATCTTCATGTTGAGCTGGTCTAAGCAATGTGATGACATACAGGAAAAAAATAACTCTCAAATAAATTGAACAGAAGTAAATACTGTTTTTATATCAGTCCTCCATACAATATTTGGTTTATCAGAGTTTGCATACAATTAATTATCAGCCCAACCTGCATCTAAATCAGAAGTGATACTATCATTGTTGTCTTGGTTAAGTTTAGTTTACTGTTTTGGTAAAGTTTGGCACAAGGCTGAAGTCGGAGGCTTTCATCGGCAGATAATCACCTGGGCCTCTCTCCTGTCTCTGGTCTCGTCTCTGTCTCTTCTCCCTAATTCACTCCGTGCATTCATATTTATAGATATTCACCCAAACTGGCGAAGAGAATTCGATAATTCTGGGGAATTCCCTTCTCCCACTCTCTCATATTATTAACTCTCACTAAATCTCCTCAGTGAGTATGGGTGGATTATCCACACACACACACACCCCACTTCGGGTATTTCAACTCAACTTTTGACCATGGGAATCAACTCCAAATTTGTTGTTTACAAAAAATGAAATTTTCGCTTTACAGCTTGCATTTTTAGCCGTATGCCAATCAACATTGTCCCCTAAGTCTGGATCACTTTTCCATTGTTCAAACTGCTCGACATAGGTGTTTTGAAAGATTTATGTTCTGACGTGATACTTGGTCAGGATTTTCTGTGTCAACATCAGAAAACAACGTTCAAGTACGATGGACCTCTGCCCAATTTAACTATGCATAGTAGTCATCAGATTTGTGCATTAAACACAGTGGAGATAGAAAACACTTCACTATTTCCCAATTTATCACCAAACTGTGAACCCATTGCCATCAAGCCGAAGTACTTTAACAAAGAAGATCAGTTTTTCATCAATAAAGAAATTCAAAATCTGCTATCTGAAGGCATAATCGAAGAAAGTGTTTCTCCATGGTGAACCCAGCTGGTAGTGGTAAAGGATCCCATCATAAAAAACGAATGTGCATAGATTACTCACAAATGATAAATCTGTATACAGAACTGGACGCTTATCCTCTACCAAGAATTGATAAAATAATCAATGAACTTGCTAGATATGACATTTTTTTCTACATTCAACCTCAAAAATGTCTACCACCAGGTATCAGATAGAGAATACACTGTTTTTGAGGTGAATGGTCGCTTGTTCCAGTTCGGCAGAATTCCCTTTGGGGTCAAAAACAGGGCTGCTTCATTCCAAAAAGCTATAGACAAAATGATAAAGAAAATCTATGTGATGCTTTCCCTTACATTAATGTCATTACTATTACAAGATGCACACAGACGAAACATGACCAAAATGGGAAAAGGTTCCTGGAGACGATGGCGAAAGCCAAAATTACTCTCAATCGGTACCTTCCATCGGCAGTGGAATCATTAAGCCCGACCCAGAAAGATTTCGACCCTTAAAAGAACTACCACGTCCAGAAAACTCAAAATCAGTAAAAAGGGCACTGGACATGTTCATGTATTATGTGAAATGGATACATATTTTTTCTTATAAAATTCAAACTTTAGTAAAAAAAATTTAAAAAATCCCACTTGAGAAAAAGGCACTCAAAGCTTTTGATCAATTCAAAAAAGAAGTGATGGAGGCCACACTAAAAACAATAGACGAAAGTTTACCTTTGGAGGTGGAATGTGATGCGTCAGATGTGGCTATTTTCACAGCCCTTAGCCAAAGTGGACGCTCAGTAGCGTTCATGCCAAAAACTCTACAGGGAAGTGAATCAAAGTATCACATAATAGAGATGGAAATTATTGAGGCAGTTTGGAAGTGGAGTCACTATTTGTCACAGTAACATTTCATTTGTAGCTGTATTAAGTTACAGTCAGCGCCATCTGTCTAACTCTCTGCATTAGCAGGGAGGAACCCGGACGAAGCTTTGCCGAAGGGCAAGTTTTCGTTCGGTGAGGTTGACAGTTCTCGAACCCGCCTAGGCGGGTTCGAAGGCTATATTTTTGGCCGGGCCTACGGGCTCAGATGACCCACAATAAACTCGGCCTTGTGCCACATTCAATACCACGTGGGGGGATAGCTAAAGATTGTAACATTCCATCCTAATTACTGATCAGAGATTGGTGGCCTTCATATTATCCAACAAAAAGTGTACTAAAATTAAGAATACCAAGACTCAAGAATGGCGATTAGAACTTTCAGCCTTCGACTACATGATAAAATACCGCCCTGGTAAAGAGATCATAATTCCCAATGCACTTAGCCAAGTTTACGCTTGCTCAACTATTACCAGTTCTTCCCTTACCAACATTCACAAAGGGCTCTGCCACATGGGAGTTACTAGGCTCATTAGAGGGAAAAATGTTCCTTTTTCTATGGAGGAGGTAAAAAAAAAGTGTGTGCGTCTTGCAGAATCTGCACAGAAATTAAACTTCATTTCTATAACTTGCCAGAAAACACTCTTATCAAGGTAACCAAACCTATGGAACAACTAAGTATTGACTTTAAGGGACCTGTGCCTTCAGCCACATGCAACACATATTTACTGTTTCCATTCGTCTTTCCGTGTCCAAACATTCTCACTACCCCAGTAATCAAATCCTTAAATCTTTTGTTCAGCTTAGCTGAGATGCCTGACTACATACACTCTGACAAAGGTGTGTCTTTCATATCTAAGGAATTGAGAGACTACCTTTCCTAAAAAGGGGTCGTGACAAGTAAAACCACTCCATATCATCCATCCAGCAATGCACAGGTTGAACGATTTAACAGCATTATATGGAAGACGATTCAGTTAGCTGTTAGATCACAAAATATAAAGTATCCAGATGGAAGGGAGTCTACTGTATCTGTTCATGATTTAGCACCCTGCCTGGAAGCAGAGTTAACTCCTGAGTCGCCCACTGTGGAAAAAAATAGGAGTATCCTGGGTGTCCCATACCAGAGGAGGACACACCGCATAACAGAGATGATGCTGGGAGTTCAACAGGTCAGGAGATCCGAATGGACAACAAGAACCCCAGATCATTATGGATGATAACGCTACATTTTTCTACGAACAAAGAATGTGGTAGTAGTAGTATCCTATGTTCACTATATACAAGCAATTGACTCACCCCAGTTGGGTATTTAACTTGTAACTCTTATTTTCCTTTTGCAGCTGAGTTTCGTTCACTTGAATAAAGATTAGCAAGCAATTTTACTGTTGTCCTGAACTCTGTTTACTCTTACAATTACGACAAAAAGATTACATTTATAGCATTCCATGTAAATGTGGGAAATAATTTAAGAGTAACCAGCTGTCGTTTGAAAGTCTGATTCAAGAAATATAAGAAAGCCTTATCCATTGAGCACATAGAAAATACTGTTACAACAGACCATATTTAGAAGGGAAAAAGGCACACATAACCATAATATGGTATAATATCCAGATCAGACCAGAAATGGAGTATTGCTGCCACACCTAGGATAGAGCTGCCCAATCAGTTCAAAAGCATTTGTATGGCCTTGTGGGTGATGAATTGTTTTCTACCCTTCTACCCATGTCCCACAAACAAAATGGTGCTACCCTCTCGCTATTCTATTGCCATTTTTTATGACAAATGTTCAAGCAAACTATATTCCTTGGTTCCACCAGTCCAGAACTTCACAGCTAGGACCTGCCATGACTCATCCTCAATCCTTTCATATTCCATTGGTAAGGATGAAGCTCCACTCAGACAGATTCTTCCTCAGAACTGTTGCCTTATGGAAAAGACTCCTGAGTGGAGAGCTTCCTTCAAAACTTTCTCAACTGCTTTCTCGAGAGCCTGTACTCCATAAGTTTTCTATGGGGTTGAGGTCAGGAGATTGGGGCGGCCATATCATAACACTCACCTGCTTCTCATCAAAGTATTCCTTCATCAATTTTGATTTGTGACAGGGAACATTATCCTGCATAAAAATGAGTTTGGTGGGGTCAATTTCCACCCTTTCAGCAAAAGGGAGCAGACAAGACTCTAAAATTCTCTTGTACTGCTCGCTCCTGAGGGTCTTTTCAATAGGTTTTAAAAAATCAATTCCAGGAAAAGAAAAGCATCTCCAGAAAATTATACTGAATGGAGGCTTGGCAGTACTTACTACTGAATTCAAAAAGCTTTCAAAAGTTCTTCTTCAGTTTTTAGATCGCTTATCCTTTGAATTTAGCTCAACTTTCATTTTTGTAGAAGAGAACATTTAGTAAAAAATCAGGTGAGTCACTTTTATCGAACAGCACTGTATGTTGAACTAAATAAAGGGTTTGGTTCAAAATTCCAGTGTATATCACCTGAAGAAGGTAAGAGCATACAACAGCTGAAACATTGTAAATATGGCAATAAAGATAAGGACAACAGTCCAAACAATGTATATCATGTAAATTGAAAAGTATATATAGTTTTTTTTGTTTTTTGTTTTTTCCAGAATGGCGTGGCATCTGCATTACCATATATTGGTCTCTGGTTACTGATTAATGTGTTTGCTTATTTTGCTGATTTTGTGAGGAAAAGGAAAATCTTAAATACAACATGGACACGGAAGATATTTGATGCTTCAGGTATGAAACAGATTAATAATCATTTTTAAATTGTAAAAATAGTAACTACCATTTTGAACCAACCTGTATATTGGCAAATGAACTTTCTATTTTTTATCATTTCACCCCAAGCAAGGCAATAAATCCACTAGGATACGTGGGTGGGGGTACATTATGTGAAAAAGAATGAAAAGACTTTAGTGAGAAGAAATGAGGAAAAGGACAATAAAGAAACAGGATTCACAAAGACAGAAATTGGCAATTGGATTTAAAATTTTGGATATTGTATGTGGCAAGGAAGTAAGAAATCAGGAGTTCCACAAGCAAGAAGTGTGAAAAAATAAACAATTAGAATAGAAGAAATGGTTGCATCTAGCTAGTTCAATAGTAAAACAGTGAGACCTAGTTGCCAATCTAGTAGCACAATTAAATTTATGCAGTGTAGGCACTAAGAAGGAAAGCTCATCAGAATACTTGAAAATAAATGAAAATATTTGTAGAATAAACAGAGGCAAGCCATGTCACATCAGTGGAAAAGTGACTGAAGTTGAGATGCTGAGTCAGGATCAATTACATTACAGACTCTTTATTAAATTTTGTCAAAACTCTTGAAATAATATAGTAGGTGCACCAGACTAGATATTGTGGCAGAGTATTTAATGCACAGATGAATGGGAGATTTATAAATGTGCAGGAGGGATTCTAACAAAAATAAATTGTCTGGCATAACAGAATGAACCAACTTTCTTAGTAGTAGACCTACCCATTGATTCAATAAAACCATTCCAATTTATCTCAGTGGAAAACATGAGCCCAAAAAGGTGCAAAGTGTTGCTCTCCTGGAGTTTAGCATCAACCATACTGATTGCAGACAGAAAAGGTTCTCTATGTTGATTAAAGGAAAGCAGTTTTGTTTTGGAGGTGTTAAAATTTACAAGCCATTTCTTGCTCCAGTTAACCACTGATTGGAGGTCCTTTTCAAGAGCAGTTGCTAATTTTACTTTGTCAGACCTATCAAACTTAATACTAAGCTGGGAGTAAATAGCCGGGAGTAAAATTCTGAAGAGATACTCCAGATGATTCTTGAGTGGATTTGGAAGAGAATTTCCAAGCAAAACATATTTATTTTCTTTAGAATGGTGAGTGAATCCTTTGGTATTCAGCATAGCAAAAAGTTTGTTAATAAGGTGGATATTAGTAGCAGTCTGGAGAAATGTCCAGTAGTGGTGTTTTGAAGTAAGACCATGATAACAGTAGTAGTAATATCAGAATTAGGTCAATCTACTGTGGTTTTCTTGGCACTGAACAGGTCAGAAATATTAGTAGTAGATGACCTCTTTACTGCTTCTTCAAGCATCACACATGATTGTTTTCTATGCACTAGAATTCTTTTGTTCTGTCCTCACATCATCCCATTTGCCTCTAGCCCAGAGATGTCAGGTTTATATCCTTTTGACCAGGTTCAAGAATCTGGTGCTAATATCAAGTCTCTTTGTGTCAATTTTTTTGATTGGCCAAAATGATTTTATTTCCAGTGTTCCTTTCTTTTTCACTTTTTTTTTTTATAAGGGAAGTTATGCATGGAGCCTCCGTGATTTTTGGTATTTTTCAGTCACAAATAACTAGGCTCTGTTCCTGCAAACTTTCAGCATTTTTCAGCTGGATTCAATCTTTTCTTCTTCTTCCCCTTTTTATTTGAGTGTTGCTTTCTCCTTATTTGAGAAAAGTATAGAAAAAGAAGTTTAAAGAAAAAGAAAGAGATAAGGGTTTTGAAAGAAAGTGTAAATGCCTTATTTTAATTTGAATTATTTTTATTTTTGCTTATTTTTTATTTTTGCTTTTATTTTTATTGGGACACTACAAAATAATTAATTTTTCTGAGATGATTGTCACAGAAAATTCTTAACTCATCTGCTGAACCAGAAACTTTTTCCAAAGATATCAAGCACTTTTACTTTTAATTTCTTTATTTGTATATGTACCATATTTTCTACTTGGATTTGTGTCATTTTAATGTATAAATTTTCTACTTTCTTATATATTTTCTGCAAATTTTGTCCAAAAAGAAAATTGTTCCATGTCACTTATGGTAGGTCAGGAAGCAACCCAACCCCTGGTCACAAAAAGGCAAGTAAAGGGGAGAAGAAGAAATAAAAACTATAAATAAATAGATAATCAAATAAAAATTAAAAAGGAAAGAGAGTATATTGATAGAAAAATTTGATTACAGAGTAAAATTTCAACACTTTGGTGATATGAAGTTTCTATGTGACAAGACTGCATAGCGTAAAAGGACTAATTGAATTTAAGAAAAGGACATCAGGAGGACAGTTATCAATGACATAAGTGTTATGGTCCAATATCCTCGCACCACAGTTATGGTCCAAAGTTAGAACCAAGGAAGAACAACACGAACACAAGAGTAGAATAACAAAGATATATTACAACAGAAATATAGTACAAAAAGTTGAAGGTGTTAGTAATGACTGTCCATTTGGTTTAGAGTGAATTAATATTGTCTCGACTTGTTACACCATTCATTGTATTTAATTGTATTTAATATCCCACCCACGAGGAATATATGCGGCACAAGGCCGAGATTAAAGTGGGTTTCTCCGAGCCCATAGGCTCTGCCAAAATATGCCCTTTGAACCCGCCTAGACAGGTTCAGGGCCTGTCTACCTCGGATTTAAACCTTGCCCTTCGCAAAGTTTCGTCCAGTTCTCTGCCAAAGCAGAGAGTTCAACAGTCATGACCTGGTGCTCGTTACACCATTCATTTATTATACCTCTTGAGGTGCACAGTATTTATAGTGTCAGGAAGAGTCTATTATCGTTATAAGTAAGTTCCCATAACAATAAGTACAGTTTCAAACTTGATGTTTGTAAACAAAACAAAGTACAGATAACTCTTTAAGAAGTCAGGAATCAATTTGCCAATGTATTTATATTATAAACAAGAACACTCATACCTTCTAAAATATTGATTTTTTTTTATCAAAAAAATCAATATTTTGCCATTCTGTGGCTTGAGGAATGCCTAAATAATGAAAATCTACAAAAATTATTAAAAAGAATTCTTGTCTATTTTTTGTCAAACCAGCCAATTAATATCAGAAAATTTTGTAAAAAATATCACTCTCTTCTTAAATTCCATGGCTCTCCACAGGTTTCTTTATTATCTGCAAATTTCTATGACTTTTTGAGGAAGATACTGGAGTGTTTCCTATACCTTCTCCATGATTTTAAATTCAGAATTATCCTTCATTTAGACTGGCTCCCATCCAAGGTTTCAGACACTACTCTATCTTGCTAGGAGCAGGAAAGGAATTCATGCCTTTCCTAAGGCCATTAGTTCAAAAGTGAACACAACAAACAAGCTTGCTGATTCCACTTTCCACATTGAAAACTTTTATGCTACCCACACATCACAAAATGTCATTAATGCCTTCAAATTTTTCTTCTCATAGGCAAACTGATTCCTGCAGTTCTATTAATTGGCCTTGGCTATTTAGACTGCAAGCATCCTTACATGGCTGTTGCTCTTCTGACCCTTGCTGTATCCCTCACTGGATTACAATACAGTGGCTTCATTGTGAATCATGTTGATATTGCTCCACCAGTAGCTGGAATTCTCTTTGGCATTTCAAATTCATTGGCAGCCATTACTGGCTTCATCAGTCCTCTTGTAACTGCTGCTGTAACTCCTATGGTAAGTTTTGATTTCATTTTGAGTCTTTTTGATCTAAGTAATAAATTTTAAACAGAAATAGATCTTTACCAACCTAATATGTTGTCAGCATTGATTATTGTGATAATGATTATTACAGTGATTATAATGGCTGCATTGTTAATAATTATTTATAATGAGGATGATAAGACTAACGATTGTGATATTGATATTAATAAAGAAGACTTTATAAGCAATAATAATATTATAAACAAACTTGTCATTCCTGTGATTTAAGGGATATGGTTTGCTTCTATCGTCAATAATTTTGTTCCTCTTAAGCGTATTTATCATAGAATTACAATTATCACATTTTTTAAACAATCTTGCTCATTTGATTTATATCGACAGTCAAGTCTCACTTAAAACCGTTTTTGATTTATATTGACAGTCAAGTCTCACTTAAAACCGTTTTTGATTTATATCAACAGCCAAGTATCACTTAAAACCATATTTTTCCAGGCCAACTCAGTGATAAATAAACGCAATACCAATGATATTCAACACAAATGTTTTCCGCTACATTATCATTTTTGTTTTACTTATAATAAATAGATTCAACAGCAGAATAAGACATCAAACAACATAATACTGAACTTGTTCAGTTTTCAGTAAAATATCTAGTACCAAAAAGATATATACTAAGTTATTCTGTAGAAATAAAAAAAATAGATAAATAATAACAAGGAAACAAAAAGTCCAACTGTAGCAACAGTGGTGTGTTTTCAGCAAGACAGTATGCTGGAGCTCAACCCTCTCAAGGCTGGTTTGAATTCAGAGTTTTCCTTCTCCTAGACTGGTTGCCAACCAATACCATAAGGTCCAGTCTGTCTGACTGTTTACCCATAGCTGGAGTGAGTAGAGATAGATTCATACTTTTCCCATGGGTATCTATTTATATTTCTGAGATGAGGTATTATGTACACTATTTACATTATTCGGACTATTGTCCTCATCTTTGTCGCCATATTTATCACAACGTTTTGGTTGTTGTACACTCCGGCCTTCTTCAGGTGGTTGGAATGTCGAACTGAAACCTTTATTACACTCACTGTTCTACCATGTCTAATGGATGTCACTTATCAGTTATCTCCTGTTAATTCCCTTCTCAAAGGACACATGGCACAGTGGATAAAGGCGTTAGTTAGATCCAGTAACAGGACCCAAAGAGTATGAGTTTAATACCTGGTTAAGGTGGTGGAGAACATGCAGAAAGAGTGTAAGTCTACTTAATGTATTTTTAGAATCATACCAATGATATATTTCTTCAGTTAAAGTATATAATTTTGTTACAGTAAACTATTACCTATGAAATATATCTATATTAACTATAGCATGAAAAGGTATCTCATGCCTATGATCATCTTTCACTCTTTGCCTGTATCTTCTTACTCTCCTCCTTATCCTTTTCAATCCCTAATAATTATCCATGCTTTTATCTATCTAAATGTTGTATGAACATGGATTATGGTGGGGGGAAATAAGGGATGTACAAATATTTTCTACTACATTCTTCACTTTCATCTTTCTCTTGCTCTATCTTTCTCTGCATAAAGAGAATTAATATATAGCTGTTTATATCTTTACCTAACCTTAAATTATTCACTATAAGCCTGTTTTCCTTTCATTGCTAGCCTTTCCTTCTCTCACTCTGTATATTATGTTGAGTCACAAGTAATTTCCATTTATGGGAAGCAATTGTAATAACAAATGTATTATCCTAACTACAAACCATACATGGCACTTAAGAATAAATTTGGAGTACACTAACATGCCTTAGGTTTTGCAAGGCAATGGCAGCATACACAGTGGATTAAAAGAAAAATGACAAAGCAAGGCCGTACACAGAAAGCAAAACACAGGAAATAATTTGGAACTTCGTTGGCTGGTTCTACCCACACCTTGCAACAACCAATTAACTTTTTCAATCACTTTTTTTTATATAGTGAGGTCCACCAAGGGTCAAGCAATGTAAAGGGTTAAAGATTAAGAGGCACAGTTTATGCACATGGGTGTGAAAAATAACAGTTAACCATACACTTAAACATGTTAAGACTGTAGTAATCAGAGAAACATCCTCTTGGGAGTTGGTTCCACAGAGCAATGGCTCATGGGAAGAAGCTACTATGGAGGGAATGAGGATGTTTTGATGGAGAAAACTTTCTCTAATGAAAACCTAATTCAAGAGTTTGTCAAGAGCTTTTTTTGCATCAAAACCTGTGAAATTTTACTCAAATGGTATTAAAAGATGCCTGATAAGTGGCAACACAAGTGATGGCAAATAATGGTGAATATATAATTGAATAAAATATAATGGTATTTTATTTTTTGACAAATAAAGTCAACAAATAAAAATGAAAATTATCTATGACTCAATCGAATATATACATTTTCCCCTTTCACTTATTTTTTGTTGTTGTTTTCTTGGGTTTTATTAATTAACACCTTTACTACTTCACAGCCTCTTGTTCTCCTCCTCCTCTCTCTTGCTTTCCCCTTTTTCTTCTTGCTTATCTGTTGCTTTTTCCATTTCCTTCTTGCTTAAGTTTCTATGTCAGAAAGCTTAACTTGATCCCAGCTCAGAAAGACAAGAAATTGGGCAGATACTACACTGATCCTTGATAGAAAAATGTAATAGTATAGATCTTAATATATATAAAATATAATGAGACTTTATATATCTAATAATCATGCCACCTCACTACTTTAATAATGCATATTCCATTGTTATAGTAATACAATGCTTTACCCAACCCAAAGCAAATATGTCACATGAACCTATAATAACAGAATATCTCATTACAAAGTAATGAGGCCTGTTTGATAATACATGCTTTTTTTGTTTCTTTTGTTTCATGTTAGTATTTTTGTACATTTTTACTATTACTGATTTAAAAAGCAAAATTCTTCCTTCATGATTGTCACTTTTAAACAGGATGGTGTTGTAGTCAAGGGAGGCAAATCTGGATTGCTTATTGAATTGCTTGGAATTAAATGGAACATTTTTTTCAGTTCAATTAACTATTAATAGAACCTTAAATAACATACAACAATAGAGTTAACTGCTTTATAATAATCTACATACAATTTTTGCTATGGCTTATACACACATAACAATATATGTGTGAAATGCCATATGTATACAAAGTCTGATTAAAAAGTATTGGGACTATTGCTATAGTAACAAGGCTAAAGTATGCAGAATGATGCTGCTTGGTGCAGTTGACCTTTAACTCAACTGTGCATGCACACTAAGTTATAACATTCTCACCCACTTCTGTTGTTTATAGCAGTATTTGGAATGCAAGTGTTTACAGTGTAGTCATCTCCCTTCACCACAGAGGTTCCATAAGTGACTATGGCTTGTGCAGCAGTTTTGGGCCAAGACCAACATTCCCTAAGTCTGACAACTACCATTTCTCAATGCTTGCAGTTTTTTCTTCTTTCCAAAAATTAAATCCCAATTAAAAGGAAGAAGATTCCAAGACATTTAAGAAATCCAAGAGAATGGAAAGAAGCAGTTGCTCACTATTACAAAAAAGGAGTTCCAGGAATGCTTCCATCAATGAAAACTATGCTGGATAAAAGGTAGCTTCAGAAGGGGGGTACTTTTGAAGGAGATTAAATGCTGAATTGATATGTGTTATAGTTTTCTTTTTAAAGCAGCAGACCTGATTTTAATCATATCTTATATATATATATATATATATATATATATATATATATATATATATATATAATGATTGATGCTATATTCAGCACCCTAACCCCAGAGTTTCATAGACACACCTTTTCTAATCATTCAGTCCACTATATATATATATATATATATATATATATATATATATATATATGTATGTATGTATCTGACCTGAAGATTGCGGTCAAGCATGAAACAAAATGCTTTGTGTTGACATCAGTGTCCACTCATTTATTTACACACACACACTGATTTTGAGGACTTTTACCTATAAATATAATATACCTCAAAACTAAATTTTTTATCATACTCTACCTATTTGTGAGTGTGTAACAGTCTTTTTTTGTCACAAATTCTCATCAGTCTTCTGATGATGAGGATGATGATGGTGATATAAATATACAATGGTGACTAACATGTTGTTTATTTTGATATTTAGAAAGCATTGAACATAAACAAGAAAATGTAAGAAAAGCTTTTGATATTTTAGAAGTACAATGCAATTACAAAATTTCTTAAATATTGTCATCATATTTTTAATATTACATGTAGTTGCTTATATTAAACATAATTTGTTATATTCAACACAATTGTTTATATTAAAAATAATAATATAACAAATGTAATATATTTAATTAACAATTACATACTACTTATGTTCTTGGAATGAAGAACAATTTTTATTGAAATTCCTATTCTGACCATTTTAATGATGTTTATTATTTCTTTTTAATTCATCCATGAAGAAACTGCTCCCAAAATAATGTCATATTTATTATTTCAGGGTACACAAGCTGAGTGGCAAATAGTCTTCTACATTGCTGCTGCTGTCTATTTGTTTGGTGCCATATTTTACTTGGTATTTGCATCTGGAGAGGTGCAGGATTGGGTACAGTTGTGTCATGAACCAAGTAAACAACCTAAAATTGTTGAAGTTGCTATAGAACCCTTAATGTCAGATGCCAAACCAGTTTAACAAGAAAGAAAGTAGCAGTTGGAAAAAAAATTTATTCAAACAATAAACAGAATCTCACTTCAAAAACGTGCAAATGGAAAGTTAAAGAAAAGGAATCTATAAAGTATCAGTAGCAAGAAGCAAAAAGAGTATTTTTTGACTCAATAAGCCAAAATTTGTAGTAGTCAGTAATAATTAAATTGGCTGATTGTTACTTTTTAACTCTGTGAAATGTATAGAATTCTTCAGTTTATCCAGGCAAATATCCTTATGTATTTTTTCAACTCCTGGACATTTTTCAATCATCTTTAGGTGACATGCATAAACAACCAATTTCTATCTATTCTGATTCATTCATATGAGAAGTAAAGTGGTTTTATCACCTTATGATCAAAAAACATTCCAATAAAAGTGGGACAGAAAAAAAACTAAAACTAAAATGAGTATATCTCTTACAATTAAACATACAACTTGTTTCATAATCTTTGATGCCTATGTAATCATAGACAACACATTACATTATTTTTAATATGCTCAACAAAAACAAAAAAACAATGTAGGCATTTAAATATTAAAAAGTGGAGACATTGTTTTCCACTATTTTACTTATCTGATCAAATTTCAATCCAGAGAAGAGTTAAAAAATTTAAATGCGCTTTTAGTAATTCATTACCATTCTGAAAGATTTTTAATTTTTTAATTCAAAAACAAAAAATACAATTATTTTTTTTAATTTCATCTTCATTCACTAACAATCAATGTCTTGGAAATTTATAAACCTTAGACCAACTATTTCTGTCCATTTAAAGCTAAGGTTATTTTCAAAATGGCCATTGCTTCTCTTTAGTTAAGTTGTTTCTTCTTGTTTTTCTAGGTCACTTGATATAAAAAAATACTTAAACTATATGTTTTATGTTTATTTTTAATGAGAATTTAATGTTTAATTTAAATATATTTAATGATTTACTTTAAAATATTTTGAAAATTACTATTGAGTCATCAGGAATATTTTAAAATATTACTTATTTCTATTTACTCTATTTTCAATTATTATCTTGTTTGCAAATTTTACAAACTTCCAAGCCAAAATTTATTCAATTTGAAGAACAGCATTATATCAGTTGAACAAGAAATATGATTATTAATTGTCTTAGTAATATTCTGCCTTAGATATTTATTGGAGAGCTAAATATTTCTCAAAATATTCAACATATAACACAATAATTGTATTCAAAGATGCTCTTATTGAAATTTCTCCATGTTTTGCTTGCTAAACAATCAATTCAAAATAATATACTCTCTGATATATGTGTACTGATTTAATTTATTAAATCAGTACACATATATCAGAGAGTATATTATCAGTATATTATCAGAGAGTATATTATATATTATCAAACACTGATCACAAGTTGTTTAGATCTGTTTTGAGAAGTATAGCCATCCTAGAGTGAAAAAAACCCATATTTTCAAACATAATCATTATAAAAGCAGTTTCTATGTAACACAGAAATTGAAAACTAGCTCTTTCTTTCCATTCATATTTCTGTTTACTCTTAAACAAATATGTTATAAATGCTGACTTATAAAATGTGATGGTTGTGAAACATTTGTACTACCAGTAAAAATGTAAGGATTTAACTAACACATAAGCACGTCATTTTTTTTTCGCCAAGAGTGTGCAAGGGAGGTAACTTGTTATCTATCTTAGATATTTTATTTTTGTAAAATGTAATCATAAGAATAAATACCAGAATTAGCTAAACATGTGTTTTTTGTGTGTGTCTGGTTATTTGATATTTGTTTATTTAGTGTATGCAATAATTTTTAAACAGTGCAGTTTGCAGCGAAACAATTCTATTTTCATGTTTCTTATTAACACTTGATTGAAAATCATAAGTTTTGAAATTTCAACTTTAACTTGGAGACAAAACATCTCATAATATGCCAGTATTTTTCTTAAATATTCTTGCATGACAAAAACCAACAACAATACTGAAGAGATTTGCAGTTACTTGGTCTCCAATGAAAAATCACTAATTATTACCGGTGCAAAAACTTGGTGATTACAAAAAAATAATAAAGAAAAATTATAAAATAAACATGTTGCAATAATAAAAAAGAGAATGCTGGAATAATTGAGAAAGCTTGTTGTCACATGATCCCCAGCAAAAACAACCAGATATAAAAAGTTTGAATAATCAATATGTATGAAAAATAATAAGAAGTATTATTATTTTATTCCCAGTTATTAAAATGTAAAAGGAAAAATATTTTTAAAAATTCAACCAAATATTGATTTGTCAAGGATATAATTAAAAAAATAGTCAACTTTTTCCTTTCTAAAAAATAATCATATACAAAGAAAAATAGAAAATGAAGACAGTTTTATATCTAATATATTAATATTTTTTTCTTGTCTCAGCTTGTCTATTTTTTATTATTACAAAAGAAGAAATTATTGAGAAAGCAATGGGTTTGAATTCTTCTCTTTATTAGATGACCCATTGTAAACACTATTATTCATTTTTTACTCTTTTTTTCTTCTTCTCTCTTCAGCTTTTCATTCTACAGCCATTACAAACTGTTTTGATAGCTAATTTTTTTATTTCCAATCTATTTTTATTAATAACCATCATTTGAGTAGTTGTAATGGAAAGTAACTGAAATTAAGATGAAAGAAATACTATTCAACAATTAATAAGTCTCAAAATGTTGCTAGCCATGTCTCCACTCAGTCTGATAAAAACTGTGCTAAAAAAAGAACAAGACAAAATATCCCTAGATATGGACAGCAAAGTGAAAACAATCTACCCCATAAAAAATACTAATGTCTTCTTCAGTTCCATAGAAACAATGATAAAGAACATCAGGTTAATACAGAAATTTGAGTAGAATTAAGGTAAAAAATTAAAAACATCAATAAAATGATTAAATGTGATAGGTATGCAAGATATTTCTTCTTCTTTTATGTGTCAAGTCCCATCAGGACGTAGGTGATCGTAGCCCTCCACATCTTTCTGTCCCTTGTAGCTCTTAATAAGTTTTGTCTTTTTGTTATTTCTCCTAAACCTTGTTCTGCCACCCATTTGCTCAAGCCCATCAAGTATGTTATGTGCTGCTTTCCTCTGTCCCTCTTTCTCTCAATCTGTCTTATGAGTATCAGATTTTTCAAGCCTTCCTTCCTCATTACATGACCCAGAAATTTCAACTGCTTCTCCCTGATGTTAAGCATGTTTACTTTTTGCATCTATTCTCTACAAAACCTTATTGTTTCTCACATGTTCAGTTTATATATATATATATATATATAGGCAACCATTTTGTTCAAAGTTATTTTTTTGATTTCAGATGAAAACTTGGAAATTTTCCTATATATTTCAGTAAAATTTTCACTTTCCAAAATGACTATTTATAATTTTAAACTGACACTAGTAGGATATTGGTAAAATGCAATGTAAACCTAAAATATTACTTTCTTTGAATTTAAAATTCATTTCAATAAATACTGTATTCTTATAAGATATCACTACACTTATTTATACTAAGATGCTTTTTAAATCTTTTTAAGTTTTATGTCAATAATTATTAAAATTTTATTTATCCTATACTTTTGGTAAATAAAATAAAGTTGCTGAATGAAGTAGTTGAAAGTAGATAACAGTTGACCCTAAGCTTCAAGAGGTTAAGACTGCACTGATTGGGAAAGAATCCTCTTGGGAGTCTGCTCCTCAAAGTACAGGTTCTTAGAAAGAAGTTGTCCGTATAGAACTTCCTTCTTACAAAGGGAATGAAGATAGTTCATCCATGTACATGGCATGGTATGTTTTTGCTTTAAAGATCTAAACTGATGAAATTAAAGAATTTCCATGGAATTAGTGATAATATAGCAACAGGATTGCAAAGTTTCCTCTTTGGAGAAAAAGGTTGTAGGGTGACAAATAATCCATCACCTACAAGATCTACACCTATTTTAGATGAACATACTAATAAGCTTAGTGTCAATTTATTTTAGGGATATTATCCAGGCAGGAGAAAGTTTATTCAGTCCTGAATTACTCTGGCAAAAATTAACCAGGCAACTGAAAGTGTTCTCCTCTTAGAGAAAAACAACTAAGCTTAAATTGAACTACTTAGACAAAACCAACAAGGGAGACAGATTAATCCAACAAAGCATTAGTTCTTATTACCTGGAGGATATATAAATTCAATCCCTATGCAGGCTAACAAATATTGTTCTTAAACTAGTTCTTAACATTTAGGATTCTATCATCAGTTCTAAACTATTGATAATCATTGCTACAAATGTATTAAAATGAAGAAAAATTTATAAGTAAACTGTTTATCAAAAATAAAACTATGAATATAAATAAAAAAAAAATTCTTTCAACTAAAGATTTAAATAGTTGGATATTCCATAAATACTCTTATTTATATTTTTATGCTGAAGTTTCCTGTTTGGGTTTCCAGATCCTTCTAAAGTCTAGTTCAACTTTATACTTCTAAAATCTCCACTTAAACTCTGAAATTTTATTTACTATTTATTTTTGTTTATTTTTATTTTTTTCCTCAATATGAGTAGATAGATTTGGCTATCATCTATTTCACACTCCTCTCTGGAATATTTTGAACAGGATTAGAGGTTTATCCCTTGTTTCATGTTTAAGACTGGGTTTCTGGTTCCTTCTAAAGTTTTTTTTTTCATTCTCTTTCACTCCCAGGAGCCCCTTGCATTTTGGTGGCATTATTGCCTTGCTTGGGGTGAGTTGATTTTTAAAAAGAAAATACCCAATACAAAGCTGATTAGTGAGTTACTGAATGAGGTACATGATAAGAGGAGGTAGAGGAAATGAAGATTATGAAAATAAGAAAGATAGACTTGAAGAGGTTAAGATTTTAGGATTCGGGAAAGTATCCACATGAAAGATTGTTCCAACAAGTAGCAATTCTTGAAAAAAAACTGTTTTAAAGTGGATTTTCCTCCTTACAAATGGAATATGAAGGAAATATGGGGATTCAAC